AAATAAAGCATTATTATCTAAAAATAAAGCATTATTATTCAAAAATAAAGCATTATTATCTGAAAATAAAGAATTATTATCTGAAAATAAAGCATGATTATTCAAAAATAAAGAATTATTATCTAAAAATAAAGAATTAAAGGATGGGAGATTTGATGATCAAAAAATAAGGGTTGAATATGTAATTGAAATTGCTAAAAAAGAGCATAAAATTTTTTACAATGATATCATTGATTTAATTAATGACAAGAATAGATTTAGTTTTGATAACCTGTTAGAGTATTCTACTTCTCAGTGGCTTTTTAAACGAAATCCAGTTATTGTAAAATTTTTAGAAACTTTTTCACTTAATGAGAATGAAAGTCAGCTTGAGGGTGAAAAACTATTTAAATGTGCAGTGGCTGTTGATACAATATATGGGGCAAGGCATTTAAAATATGTATCTGCTATCAATTTGGCAGCATCAGCAATTAAATATTCTTTAGCCAAATCAAAAACAATTATTGACATTGATAATCACTTTTTAAGTTCTGGTGGTTTCAACAAATTTATTCAGTGGCAAGAAGATTTAGCTCACGAAGCTACACCACTTTCAAATGGTTTATTATTTTTGGCATTTGACAATGAACAAAAGGGACAAAAAAACTACTTAGACCATGGAAATAATACAGTAATTTTCCATGCTGTTACAAATTTTATTTCATTTAATTTTGATCCCACTAATAATATACAGGTTATTGAGGACCCTTGGTTACATCAAAAATTAAATTCATTACAGATTCAAGAACTTTTTGAAATCACTCCAGATATGCAAGCATTGCTTGATAAAGAACTTCGAGATTATCCATCTGTTATCTTAACTGATGCATGTGAAGAAAAAAATAGTGAACTAAATCTTATTGATAATCTTATTTTAAATAATTCTACTATAGGAAAACAAAAAAGGTGTATTAAATGTGGTGTAAAGGAAATTGAAAATTTGAAGTGTAAATGTCCTCAATGCAATTAAAAACTTTCTACACTCACTGAGACCCAACAAGAAATGCAAAGAGACAATCAATCAATCTTGGAGACAAATACTACCAAACCTTTAAAATTCAAACACTATCAAAATAACACCAATTCCTTTAATAATCCAATAAATCCAATCAGCATAACTCAAAAAGCATTACCTCAGGATGGTGTCAAGGTGCCTGGTATTTCTGCTCCAGACCCTTTACCATTAAATCCCAATTCAATTGATAATGTTTGTAAAGTTTTAGATCACATCCAAGAAATTAGTGGTATCAACAAAGGTGAAAGAAAATGGATTGCAGTGGATTGTGATGGTGTTCCATTCAATTATCCACAAAAAATTAAGAATGATTATCCAAGAATTCTCTTTATACCTGGACCACTTCATGAAAAAATGAATATGTTAAAATCTTTCATGGAATTAAATTGGTAAATTTCATAACTATTGTAAGAGTTACTTATTTTGTTCAGCGTATAACTGTATAATATTTAATTCTGTCTTCTTTGATTTTAGGAACATTAATATAAAATAATTTGCTTGGTGCCAAGGATATCGTAATGATAAGCAACTATCTTATTTTAAAAGATGTGGTGATTATCACAAAAGTTGGGATTCTATTTGTAACATATATAGGCATGCAATGGCAATGGAGTTAGTATGGCCTTATATTACAACAGCTTCTGATCCTTATGTTGATGGGTATCTTGATTAGGCTAAGAATCAAAAAGATGAATTATATAAGTTAAAATATGAGCAGGTAAATCATTGATATTAATAAAAAATGTGATAAAATAAGTACTAATAATTAATTATTAATCTTCAAGATCTTTTGGTATCCGCAAGCCATAATCAATTATTGTACTGCTATAAGGAATAACCAACCTTTACTTAAAGCAAGCATCATGAAGAATCTTTGCTCCAATTTGGTCAGCAAGATGACATCCTATATATAGATCAATTGAGGTTGCAGATGAAGAACAATTAATGTGTCTTCATCCTGAAGTTTGACAGCTTACTGAGCAAAATTCTGTTGTATCTCGATCTGGTTGGTCAAATCAGCATCAAGGGTTAGATGCTATACTTAAAGAGATAAATAAAGCACTAAAGGCGCTTGTTCCACCTGTACCCACACAAAAGCATTGGGAGATTGCTGCTAGAAACTGTATGAAATTTATGAAGGTAAGTATTATTAGTACATTTTATTATTTATTTGTATTATAATATTGTTTTTCTTTTAAAACCATTTTCTTTGGCTTGTAACTTCGAAAAAGGTTATTTACTACAATTGGGTACTGTGAGATAGTAAATCTTGGACCTATCAATTACCCAGCTAATATTGACCAATTAGAACGTACTTACTATGAAAGTCATGTGATGCGCTAAATATATTATTGTAATGGCTATGCCGCACATTGTGCAGTGTCATATGAAAGACTATTCCTATTCATATTTCTATATTTATATTTATTAACCTTCCCATCTGATGTAAATATTTATTTAGAATTAGTAATTAGTTGATAAGCATATTATTGGAGAATAGAGTAGCACATATCTCATTATTTGTACTGCCCCAAGAGGTATAAATACACTTGGCTTTAGACCAAGTTAAGAAAATAATTAATAAATCAATTGTTAATATTGTTAATAACCTTGATAACAACAACATAATAATAACTCTTAATAAATATATAACCTTACATAAAATAGTCTTTGACTGTAAGTAACTAATAAACCCAGTGTGGTTGACCCCCCAGCCCTTCTAATGGTTAATGGTCTGGCCAACCTTTAATTATTAGTTGGGAACCCTTTTAATTATTCAGATACATCTCAAGGGGACGCCTTTGGGATATAATCATTTACATAGAACCTAGGGACCCTTTTATCCAGGAAGATAAAAGTTATTTTTATTATTAATCTTTGACCGTAAGTCAGCGAGTAGGCTGTGTGTCATATATATATAGTTAAAGGAAACTTGACTGTAAGTCAGCGAGTAGGCTGTGTGTCAAACAATAGAATCAACCATAAGTCAGCGAGTAGGCTGTGTGTTGAGCTATAAATAACCTATTAATTAGGAAACTCAGATTGCACGCTTGCAGTACACAGATCAAGAAAGCTGAGGCCCTTGATCACATCCAATTTTTGAGAAAGAATCTCTACACTTTAGAGCAGAATTAAGAAATACTGGTTTCTTGGACCCATTAAAACTTGATTGTGCCTTTGAAAATTTGGATAAAAGTAACAAATTAAGTGAAGCAATGAAATCATTTAGCTCAACAGCCAAAGCTCTTCAAATAGATTTCATTAAAGAAAAACTGGGTTCAAAAAAATCATCAGGAATTACTTGTATAATCCCTGTTACTGCTGAAGAGCAAGAAAATCAATTATCAGAAAATTCAATGACAAACAAAGAATTAATACTAGTAATTAATTCATTGATTGGATCCTTGGATGAAGCTAATCAGCCACAATTTAAAGGACTAGGAGCAAAAAAGAAAAAGATCTACTATTAATTCTGCAACAAGTCAAAGATCTCAACAATGGTGCTAATGGTGGTGAAATATAAGAGACAATTTAAAAGGAATTATATCATCTGAAAAACCAAAATGAATTTAAGATAAGTGAAAAAAAAAAAATATTATTATTGTTATTGCTTTATTCCATTAATTATTATTTTATTATATAGTTTGACTCATGTTAAAATAAACAGATCAACACTAATGAACATTTTAACACCATATAATCCACCTGATGTCATTGCAATATGATAGATATGGTTATTATTATGATGTAAAGGTTATGCATAAAATATTTTATTTATTTTACTTATTAATTTGTCATTTTATTTTTTTGAACAATTGTTAAAATTTATTTTAAGCATTAATTATTTTTGCTTTATTTATTTATTTCTTGTTTATTTTATAATGTATAAATTTTTAATTATTTATATTTAATCAATAATATTTATTTACATAAAAAAATTTTTAATAACTAAATGGACCAAAATTAAACTGCTCAAAAAAAAATTGATATAAAATTTTTTTTAAGGGGGTAATAATGTTGCACACAATTTTAGAATTTTCAATTGTATTCCAGAATGTTGATCATTACAGTATTTAGAAATTCCAAATTTGGAAAAACTCCTGTCGCATTACCTGATAGTGATGGGAATTTTTAACCCTACACTTAATAACTCCAAGTTATTAATGGTTAATAACCACTTATTAAATGTTGCACTCTGAGTGAGAGTTATTAATCCAAAGGATCCATTTTGTCAATCAATCCCAGTGTATAGAATTCAGCAGATTTGGAAAAAATTTATCAAATTTGCTTAGCATGCACACTCTGCACACTGAATTTTATGCACAGTACTAAATTAATTATTAACTTGTTTATCAAATTAATATTTGATTAAACAGTTACCAATAAGAGATCTGCATGTTTGTGTTTTTAACACTTAATAATAGAGTTATTAAGCACTTAATAACTTGGTCATTTTTCAAAATAATTTTTACGCCCATCACTATTTCCTGACAACTCTTTTTCATATCCTAAATTGGTTAATTAATAATAAATAAAAACCCCGGTCACTCGATTTTATATTTAAAGATCTTGCTAACGATAAACTAGTAAAAATATCTATCTATGTGATTATTTATTTTGAAAAACAAATCTGTTGTCCGACAATAAATATTTTTTACAAATTCACGCTTTATAAAAAATATTTTTAAACATATAAAAAAGATGATTGTTCAAACAGGCGAAAAAAATAATTTTTTTAAAAAAACAAAAAAAAAAACAAAAATGGATGATAATAATAATAACTCCGATGATAACGGTTTTAATTCTAATGGGCAAATACAAACAAGGAGTATCACTAATCAATACCCGGCTCTTAATAATACAATTTATCAAAACTCTGAAGACATTTATCACAATGGTGACGACAATAATTACGCTCATCAACAAAACATGATTCGTAATTATCTTATTCATCAAAACCAAAACCATGAAGAAATTTATCATAATAATAATTACGTTCGCCAAAATATGGTTCATAATACAATTTATCAAAACCCAGAAGACATTTATCAAAATGTCGGTGACAATAATTATGCTTATCAACAAAATATGATTCATAATTATCTTGTTCATCAAAACCCTGAAGAAATTTATCATAATAATAATTACGTTCGCCAAAATATGGTTCATAATACAATTCATCAAAACTCTGAAGATATTTATCAAAATGTCGGTGACAATAATTATGCTTATCAACAAAACATGATTCATAATTATCTTGTTCATCAAAACCCTGAAGAAATTTATCATAATAATAATTACGTTCGCCAAAATATGGT